TTCCGACTACACCAAAACGGTCTGAATGTAGCCATAAAATTGGATTTTTCGACTACTTTTCGACTATTTTGATAGTTGAAAAACTGTGATTTTTGTTTATAGTGTTTTCATTTTAATGATGTCATACTAAGATTTACAATATATACGAATTAGGTATTCATAAACAGGAAAACGGTTAAAAAAAGATAAAGACGTCTAGCAGCTAGCACAATGTTTTCATATATTCCAGTAGGAGTAGTTTTTTTTCTTCTCTTTCTGTACAAAGTGCAAACTAATATTTTCAGGAAAGAAAAAAAAATGATACAGCCATATTCTAAAAGGACATATATAGTTTTGGGGACAAATATGGTGGTAGTTTCATTATTGGTTCGAAATCAAGTTGAGATTAAGCTACAAAAGAAAGGACATATATTGTACTTGAGCCTTCATTTTCTATACCTTTTTTGCAATGTGAGAAGTGATTATGGCTATTTGAGAACAATGATTGTAATATGCAGAACTTATGATTAATGGAATAGTTTGTTATGCTTTTTGCAATTTGAAGTAGTTGGACTAGTTATTAAAAGTAGTACAGCATAGCCGTGATTTTTATTAAGTTGTGTCAAAATATAAAAAGTAAACACACGTAAAAATTAAAAGGAGCCAACATATAGTAATAATATGTCATTAAAATATTTTATCTAGCTACTCAAAGTAATTTTCCAGATGAAGGGGTGTCTTGACACCCCTAGAGATAAGATGGCTCCGCCATTGACTCTCTCTATTTTAATTCATGTGATGTAATATGACGTGTATGAAGTTTGAGAAAAAAAGAAACCTTTTAAAATTCTGATCTTAATATGGACAAAAGCCATCGTCTTATGCTTGTGAATCCCCTCTTTCAGCTGCAACAAGTAGGGATCATCAAACTGCTTCTCCTTCACTTCGGCTACTAAGGAGGAACAAGTCATGCTCTTGACAACAGCTCCACCATCTTCGGAGTCCGAAAGTCGAACTCCTAGCTTGGCTAAGCGGTGAACTTCTTTCACCATAGTTCTCTTGTCTGCCTCAATAATGAGCTATACTTCCTATACTTATTATCTCTTTAAGGTAATTCATGAAAACACTTACAGTATTGTTGTGAGCTAAGTCTTTAATTAGTACTCCGAAGATTAGAGTCTCGTGCAATGGAAATACCCTCGTGATACATAACTGGGCATGATTTTATAGTTTTTATATCTGATGCGAACTATGCGGGTTTCAAATCTCCATCTGGATTTACTGAAGATTTTCACATCTCCCCCTTAGACCAAAGGTTAAGGTCTTGTACTTGCGGATCCTTCTCTTATATTGACTTACTTCTGAGCAATATTCCTTACTAGGAAAAACTAAATTACTTACATAAACGGAAAGCTAATGTATTCACAACTATCATGCCCAATCTTAATGATTTAACTCGGCTCATTCTGTCAATCTTGGGGAAACTTCTTTTCGATAACTCTTAAGGACAATTCTTTTGTAGTTTGCACTCTTACTGCTCGCTTATTTTCTTTTCTTCCACTGTCAGTGTACTTCGGGTTTAACTTAAACTCTTTGGGTTCTAACATGTTTTCGGTATTTCAAACTGTCATCCACTCACTAGAGTTTACTTGGCTAAGTGAATCAAATCTTACTTGTTCCAACTCTGCTGAAATTGCTAATTCATTGTATCTACTCAAAACTTACTTACTATTCTTTTACTAACCACCAACTAGCATCATGTTTTCTTGTTCTGCTTTGAATAACTAAAGTGAAGCATAGATTATTTCTAACTTCCCTCACCATCCGACCATATTCTAGGTCACATACTATCCTTTTTTTAAAACTATGTACATAGATCGCACTTAGCAAAGTTCATCCGTCTTAAACGAAATTGAAATATCTGACCCAAAACTTTCTCTACACTTCAAAATCATAACATACTATAAACATCCAAGTTAAACACTTGGTCATATCACCTAAATGGAAAATGTCATATATTTTATCTCACAATAATAGGTGCTTCTTAAAGTAACTTACTAACATGGTACTTTTTGGTTCTGATTTGAAAAAATCCGAACAACTTAAAATCATTCCCTAAAATTCAATTTTGGCTGCTCTTGGTTCTCATTTCGTATACCATATCTCTTTAGTCATATGCATGAGTCGTGCGAAAAACACATCTTTGGTAATATCAAACATTTCTGCCTCCTAGGTATTTTGCCCTTAGGCTCTTTTCTGTCCAAAACTATAGTGATCAATTCCATGCTTGCTGAGGTTAAATTCTTAACTTGTACGTGGGGTTTGGCATCTAAACTATCATCATCCCACATGTGGCTCCATTTCCAAGAACTAGAAGAAATTGTTCTGTGAGGTAAAACACATACGGATACACTACCATACACAAACGTCTCCTTCAGAGTGTACCATCATCTGATAAATCACTTCCTGCACCATCCAGTGAGTCTGAAAACACTGACTGGCTGAAAGTACTGAAGACTGTAAGGTAATTATAATTCACCGAAAGAACCGGGGATCACCAAATAGCTAGCACGAGAATCCGAGCGCTCGAAATTGTCAACCTGTAAATCATTACCTGCATCGTGAGATGCAGGCCCTGGGCAAAAGGGACGTCAGTACATTTGAATTGCACAAGTATGTAAAAGCAACTGAAAGAAAGAACTATAAATGCCGAAACTGATACTAAGCTGATAACTGAGAATTGATAATTAATAACTGAAATGATAACTATTGAAACTGAAATAGAAATGATAGCTGATAATTGATAAGTAAAATGATAACTAATAAGTGAAATGATAACTGATAACTGAACTGAACAAAGGAAGTAAGGATATGAATACTCCCTCATCCGAATGATGAACCACCTGTTTATCTGAATAAATAAATTGCGGCATCAGGCCCAATATACATGTGCACAAACTGCGGCCTCAGGCCCAAGTATACCTATACATAACTGCGGCCTCAGGCCCAATGATGCATAAATCATAAACTGTGGCCTCATGCCCAAAGATGAATAAAGCATTAATTGCGGCCTCAGGCCCAAATATGCATAAAACATTAACTGTGGCCTCAGGCCCAAATATGCATAAAGTATTAACTGCGGCCTCAGGCCCAAATACAGGGGTTCAACATTCAGGGATTTAAAATCAGGAACTGAGAATCATACTGTAATACATGATACTGAAATACTGAACCATACTGAGTTACATGATACTTGAATGCTAAATAGAACTGGACTGAGACATGTACTCATGAAATGATTATGAAAACTGAAGCTTCAATTGTTTATGACATGCTGAGTAATCTAGGCTGAGACTCATGGGAATCAAACTCAAGTCTATATTGATTACGCATTGAGCTCACAACATTTCGAAGGGAAGTCATGAACGAGTTATGAAGCTAGATAATAGATGTTCTGTAACTATTAAAGGAACTAGTCTTAACTATATTTCTGAGGCAATTAGTAACGTCGTAAAAGAAACGTGGTGTAGGGAGAATCATTAACATTCCCAAACATAGAGAGTTAGCCTCACATACTTTAACTTCCTTCTCTTGAGTGTAGTACAATATTCGCCAACCCTTTCAACTTTAATTTATACCAATACAAGTCAAAGGGATTCCATATTAGCAATAATACTCATTTTTTTGTCACTTAGGCATTTTCTCAAACACTTGGTGGGCATAAAGCTTCATATCCCTCATTAATGGTGTTTCTATACCCAACAAGCCATTCTCTTGCTCCTAGATAAATTCTAAATTCTCAAATTTCTTATAATCAATATCATTCTTCTTCACTCATAAGATAAACAACACACGTAACCAATAATCAGCAATCAATAACCCAAGCATATAATTGTTCATGCTTTTCATCAACTCATATATTGTGAACATAGAGTCTATAATTATTAATCCAATGCTATAATAAATTAGAGGGTGAAGACATTACCTTTTTGAAGTTCAATCCTCTTTTTTTTTTAGCAAATATACCACTAGGCAGGCTGCCTAGTGGCTAATATATAAATAAAACAGCCCAAAATTGGGTCCAAAGTTTACAAGATGTCAAAAAACAAGCTAAAAGAAGTCTGAAAATACCAACTACTATGAAGGCTATAATGTAAAACTGACTAGCTATTACAACATGATCAAATGACTGCTTCCTCCTCCTGTGAGTGTTTGTGAATCCTAATGCCCATTTCAGATACCAAGTAGCACCTATCAAGCTCTCACCAGGCGCTAGGGTATGAGGGGTATAGGAAAATAAGGATTCCAAGCAGCAACTCCACAGAACTGAAGCAAACAAGACCTTAACAACATGAATGTTGATCCAGGATGAATGATCAGGAAATGTCTCATGCTTATTCTTCAAACTCAACATGTATATTGCACTACCATCTCAAAATGAGTGTGTGACCACACTAATACCATTGAAAAATTATAGGACAATAACAACAGCAATAGAACCAGTGTAGTGCGTGACAATCCATATGTGTGTGATGAACATGATGCTAAATCAAGCTCATAAAGGAGTCTTAGCTTGTTCAAATAACTAAAGCCTAACCACATTGAAATCCAGCTTTGGACATCTAAATGAACCAACAGAATTGGGCTGCACATTGCCTCAAACAGAACCAAGGCTGTGCTAAGTACAAGCCTACTGTCCAAAAGAATATACTTATCTATCATTAAAATATCCCCAGATTGAGCATGACGCCATGCTAATACCACTGAGTAACACCCTAATGATATACAGTAAGTGATAAGCGACACAAATGCAGAATAATCCAATCCAGAAAAGATGTCTATTAAGTGTACTGATATATCTTGAAATCTTATGAATGTTCCTGACTTGCCTTTATATGTAACAACCATTCTGAAAACTACTAAATCACCCCCAGAATGAGCATGATAGCATGCTAATACCACCGGGAAGGCATTCAACAATGTCCATAAGAATGCAAGAACAGGCTTTGGCAGTGCAAAACTTAGGTTGTACAATAGTCAGGTGCTTTCCTCTTGGCAATCCTAACTCTAAGGTTAGGTATTTGAGCTTTGTCCATATTGATTAATGTTTTTCCTTCAGATGGAAACTCATGAAATGAGTGAAAGATGATTGTACCTGCAAAAGAGAAAACAAGGTTAGCTAAAAAATCAGCAACTTTGCTGCCCTCCCTTAGCACATGTTGAAACAGCACATTGTATAAGTTCCTTATCTCTTTGATCCTTCTCACTTCTGCCCCTATACACCATGGTGTCTCCCATTCATCATCAATGATCTTACTCATCACTAAAGAGTCAGTTTCCATGATCAAAGGGTGAAGCTTCCTCTCCACACAGAGAACCAGTCCTTCAACAACAACCTTTGCTTCTGCCACAATGTTAGTTGCCTCACCTATCTCCCTTGCTTTTGCAAATACCAGGTTCCCCTCATGATCTCTAACAAAAAATCCATAAGATCTAGGGCCCGGATTTCCCCTTGATGCTCCATCTGTATTGCACTTAAACCATCCTTCATATGGAAATTGCCATGTGACTCTCTTAGTGACTACAACTGGCTTGTAATTTTCAAAGAATTTGATCATCTCTGGCCACAATAATGGAATCCTAGGAAGCCAAGGATACCTCACCTTTGCCATGTAATACAATGTCTTATTAACCTCATGTATGACTCTACTACAAGGCACTGTCCCCCCATGCTTGATTGTATTCCTTCTCTTCCATAACTCCCAAAGAATCAATGCAGGAGCTGCTTGAAATAATGGTTTTAGCTTAGGGCAACACTTTGCATTCCACCATTCTCTTATAACTTGATATACTTGTACCAAATTGATCACCAAACCTGTTGCCTGCGTAAAGTTCCTCCACACCTTAGTTGCAGTATCACTTGTTAAGAACAAATGCTGGTAAGAATCCTCTTGTGGTGGTAAGCAGCACCAACACTTAGATACTACCACGTAGCCCCCTCTCCTCCACAAGTTATCTATAGGAACTTTCCCCTTCCATACTCTCCAGAGAAAGAAAGAAATCTTGAAAGGCAGACCCTTGGTCCATATCTTAACAAATTCAAGATTGCTTGGTTCCCTATGCCTTAGAATTCTCCAAGCACTACTAACAGTAAAATTACCTGAAGGTGTAGGCATCTATCTAGGGGTGTCCCAATACTCATCAGCATCTGCAAAGTGCACCTCTTCTCTAATATGATCAGCTATGTCTTAAGGGAAATTTTGATCAAGAAGTTGATCATTCCATTGTTCCTCCTCTCTCAAATCAACTACATCTTGCAGTTCTTCATTAATGGGGAATTCTGGAGGCAACACATGGTACAAAGCTCCTAATCCAGTCCAGTTCTCATGCCACACATTGGTAGACCCTCTATTCATCTCCCATAAGATTTCATGCTCAATTTCCTCCATAGCCTCTAACATTTTTCTCCATACATGTGACCCCTCCCTGAATTGAATTACAGTTGGTAGTTCTTTCTTGCAGTACTTGTTCCACATGAAGTTGGACCATAAAGATTTGGTAGTTCTAAACCTCCACCACAGCTTAGCAATTAATGCTTTTGAAACATCAATCAGAGATCTAAAACCTACTCCTCCCTCCTCCTTAGGAAGACATAGATTTTGCCACTTTGTCCAATGCCTACTCCTCCCTTCATCCTTATTGCTCCAAAAGAATCTTGCAAATGTTTTGTGCAAGTGTTCCAGTACATTATCAGGAGGATCAAGCACTGAAAGTATGTGAGTAGTCATGCTTTGTAATACACTAGAAATCAATGTAGCCTTTCCCCCATATGATAATAACTTTCCTTTCCAAGAGTGTAACTTTGCTTTCACTTTCTGAATCAAATCATTGTAGTACTCCTTTCTTCTTCTTGTATAGAATATTGGACACCCAAGGTATGTGAAAGGGAATGATCCCTTTGTAAATCCAGTGATATCCCCTACTGCATTTGTCAAATCTCCAGACACATTGGCATGCATGTAATATAAACTCTTTGCCTTGTTAATCAACCGTCCAGAAGTATGTTCATACTGAGCCAAGACATCTGCAATCTTCTTCAAAGAGTAAGGATCTGCAGATGCAAATATAATGGTGTCATCAGCATAGGCAAGATGGTTCAATGGCTCAGTCCACTTTGGCATTCCAAAGCCTATTAACTGCTTGTCTTCAAACAATTTGTTCAAGGATCTTGACAACACCTCAGCTGATAGAATGAACAAAGCTGGGGATAAAGGATCCCCTTACTTCACACCCCTTGAAGAATGAAAGAAACCAGAAGCTTGGCTATTAACCATGACTGAGTACCAATTGTTTGCTATAAGATTCCACACCATATTTATGAAATTTTCAGCAAATCCCATCTTCCTTAACACATGCATCAGGTACTTCCATGACACCCTATCATATGCCTTAGCCATGTCTAGCTTGATAACAACATTGGCAGGCTTCCCTCTCAACCTTATGTGTGTGACAATCTCTTGAGTCAATAAAATGTTTTCAAATATACTTCTTCCCTTGACAAAACCTGACTGGTTTAAAGAGAACAAGGCTGGCAGAATCTTTTCCAGTCTATCATGAACCACCCTTGAGAACACCTTATTTATGAAATTACTTAGGCTTATAGGTCTTAGATCAGAGAGTGTTTGGACTCTAGGCTTCTTGGGCAACAAAACAAGGTTTGTGTGAGTTATTGACTTAGGCAAATGGCTGCCATCAAAGAACAAGATCAGCAGCTTATGTATATCTTCCCCTACAATGTCCCAGCATGCTTGAAAAAACAAACCAGAAAAACCACCTGGACCACTTGCACTCTCACTGCTCAATGCAAACACAGACGCTTTCACCTCCTCCCTAGTAGGCAATCTCCACAATTCTATGTTCTGCTCCCTTGTCACCATTGTAGGCACATTGTTCAAAAGATCAAAGCTTGAAGGATCATCTTCCTTAGTGAATTGCTTCTGATAGAACTCCACTGCAGCATTAGACATCAGCTCATGTTATTCAATCCATACCCCATCATTATTCTGGATTCTTTTCAGTTGTAGCTTTTGCCTCTTGCCATTGACATGGTTGTGAAAGAACCTAGTGTTTCTGTCTCCTTCTTCAAACCAGTTCATACCAGCCTTTTGTTTCCAGCATTGCTCTTCTATGCTTAAGCACTTCTTTAGTTCAGCCTGAGCTTGCTGAAGTTCTATCCTATTCTCCACAGATGGATCTTCTTCAAACAACATTTCCTTGATCCTCACCACATCCTCCCTAATGGCCAACTTCTTGAAAATATCCCCATAGGCTAGTCTGCTCCATTTAGATAAAGCAATCTTAACCCTTTTTAATTTCTGCTTAAACATCAAGAATGGATCCCCTATGAAATCAGCAATCCAGTTCTGCTTCACCACATCCTTGAATGTCTCATGTTTTGTCCAAAAGTTCAGGAACTTGAAGGGCTTAATAAATTTCATTGCTTCCTCCCCACAGTTCATATATACTGGAGCATGATCTGAACCTGTTCTAATGAGATGCTCCACCTCTATATTAGGGAATAGCGTTTGAAAAGGCAAAATTCACACAAATTCTGTCTAACCTCTTGAATATACACTCCTCATTTGGCCTCCCATTCCACCAAGTAAAAGGGCTACCCTTATAACCTAAATCAAACAGGCTACAAGAGTTCACACAAAAAGCAAAATCTTCATATTCTGGAGGATATACAGGCAAACCACCTATCTTTTCGTCCTCATTCATAACAACATTGAAATCACCCCCAACTAGCCAGGGTAGTTCCATATCACTAGCTAAATAATAAAGATTATCCCAGAGTTCTAGCCTTTCCAAAGCACAACACTTAGCATATACAATAGTCATCATAATATGCTTACCTAGATCTTGATGATAAACTCTGATTGTCATTTGTTGCTCAGTGTCAATCAACAAGTCCCATTCCACAACAGCATAAAAAATCAGCCAGATCTTTCCATTCACATTAGAAACTGCAGCATCCATTCCTAGCCTTCTTCTATAATTGTAGATAAATTTCTTCTTTTGAAATGGCTCCATGAGTGCAACAATGAAGAAACCATGTTCCTTTTGCATATTTATAACTCTTTGAAAGGCCTGTTGAGTCTTAATAGACCTTATGTTCCATATGAGAGTTTTGATCATCATCTTGAAGCTGCAGAAGCTGCCCTTCTAGGCAAGATTCTTAGAGGTTGCTGTGACTCTTTAGGTTGATTTTTCTTCCCTTTCTTTCCACTTCTATCAGCTGCCCTAGGAGATACATCCCCTTCCTTCATCACTCTTTTAAAATTGTCTGTTGTAGACTCATCATCACCTTCCTCCTCAAATTATCTTTTTTGATCCACCAAAGAATTTTGGATATCTAATGGCAATTCCTGATGTGTTATGAGATCATGTAGTACCTGATTAGGAGACTTCAATGGTGTGAGCACGTGATTTTTGTCCTATATATGAATTATTCCCAAAAAAAATCAAACAAAAATGATTTTTCCTTATTTTTACAATTTTTGTGAATTTTTGTGTCATTTTCTGTTAATTGTTTGCATTTTTATTTGTGCATGTTAATTCATATGAAAATACAAAAATATGCATTTGCATTTTTGATATAATTTCATATTTTTAGGATCGATTAGGGGTTAGTTTGTTTTAGAACAAAACATGAAAAATCACAAAAATAGTCTACTTTTGCGTGCTTAAGTGTTAATTGTTGAATTTGTCATTAACTAGACATTTAAACAATTTTAGAAAATTAATTAGCTCAACTTTGGAAATAAATTAGGTCTCTATTTTAAATTTTGCATTTTAATAAAATCAAAAAAAAAAATATAAATACAAAAATAAATAAAAGAAATACAAATGGGAAAAGAAAACAATTAAAAGAGGACTGTTTTTTAAAAAAGACCAAAATTGGGCCAAATTGGCTAGCCCAAACCAATTCCCCTCCCAAACCCATTCTCAGGTCAGCCCACATCACCCCAACCCGGTCCAGACCCCCTCCATACCAAACGACACCGTTTGGGGCTGAGTCAATCCTGGCCGTCGAGGATTTATCATCCAACGGCCAGGAACCATGCACCATTGAGTATATTACTGTCCAAACGCTCACCACCCCCCCTTTTCCGTCTCTTCCTCACCCCATGGACTCCCAAACCCTAATCTTTGCCGCCCCCATATCCCCCGGTGAAACTCGCCAGCGGCGAAGACGACAACTACGCCGATGACCACCAAAAATACACCGGTGACCCTCCTCGATCTCCTCTTTCTAACCATGCACCCGTTTTCCCTCAAATCAGCCCCCACCGGCTCGAATCTTCATTTTGAAGATTCCGGCCAAGACGTTACTTAGGCCAATGGCTCCCAAAAACACACCCTCACACCGTCTTAATCCTCTCAACACGAATCCATGATTTATTCCTCTCAAATCCCACTAGTTTTGCTCAAACAACCTAAACCCTAGCCGCTGCCGGCGAACGCCGGTCACTCCAACGCCTCCCAAATTAACACCCCAGTATCCTTTCTTCCTCCTCTACCCAACCCCCATAGCCACTGGTCTCGAATTTGGCCGGAAAGGCTCGAATATTAGTTTTTAATTCTCCGGCCAAAACCCTAAAACGACCAAAGTGCATGCAATTGGCATCAAAGGATCCCTGGGCTTTTCTCGTGAGGATTTGAGTGTCATTAGAGCCAAGCGTCATCAGAATTGAAAAACAAAATCAGTAAGCCTTTTTCCTTTTTGATTATTGAATTCTTCTCTTGTTTAAAGTCTGTTTGTTTTAGCTTCAAATAGGATATTTTCCCCGCCACCAATTACTCTTCATGATACTTAAATTAGGGTCCTAGGGTTTCAATTTAACTTTTGTTTGGTTCTGTATGATTTGTTTTTATTCTGGATTTGATTTGACTCTGTTAATTGTTACTAATTGGTTTAGTTAATTGATTGAATGCATATAGATTAGTTTCATTTATTTCATTCTTAGTTTTAGATTCCATGTGTTTTAATAATGGTTTAGTAGTTTTAATTCTGTTTTATTGTGTTTAATCTTGAGTTGTTAGTCTAGATTCTAGGGTTAATTGGTTTAATTGGAAATTGATTTGTAGTTAATCAGAATTTTCGTTAGACCATTGGTTAGCCTTAATGAATTTAAGTTTCAGGTTAAATTGGTTAGATGTAACTGATTAAAATAGGCTGGTAATTCTAAGTGATAGTTGAGGGTATTTTAGGGATCAAAAATGGCATGTTTTGCCAAAATAGCAATTTCAGAATTTAGATAAGGGTAATATAGACTTTTAGATAAGAAAAGCCCTGCAGTAACATAAATTAGAAGCCTCTAGAGACTTCTAGATAGGGGTTCAAGCTAGATTTCAGAAAATTCAGGGTAATTACTTGCAACACAAGTTAAAAACTGAAGGACCAAAACTGAAAATAAATAGGGATTAGAAAGAAAAATAAAAATCTGATTGAGGCCCCTAGTTTTGCCTATAAAAGGCATCATAAATGCCTTGTTTAAGAAGTTTTTGAGCCTCCAAAATTCCCCCCCAAAAACTTCCTCTCCAATTTCAGATCTGATTTTGAAATTCAAACCTTCAAAAAATCCAAAAACAATAGAAATCTAATAGAAAAATCCCAAAAAATTACTGTTACATTAGTGTTACTTAGGTCACTTTCAGATTTGATCATTGAATTCAATTCTCTAGCTCATATAGGATGAAAGCTACTTGAATTTCCTTGTGTTTTGTTCAATATTTGAGGATTGAAGACAGTTTGAGTCATCTAGGCAGTGGATTTGGGAGATTCGAGTCAACTGTGATCTTAGTTTGAGTGTTTTGCTTTCCTGTGTTCATTTCTGGGTATTTGGATGCTTTTTTGGGGTTGATACATCAGTTTCATTTGGTTTAAAATATTTCTGGAATTACTGAGTCACTTCTGGGCTGAAAAATTGGCTGTGTTGATTGCTGTGTTACTGTTGGATTACCTTTGCTGATTCTCTGATCTCTGCTGATCCTCTCTTCTTCTTCTTACATTTCCTATATCCAGGTACGAGGTCACTACCGTGTAGATTTCAAGTTAAAACGAAATGAAGTTGAAGCATGCTCTGTTACAGATTCCATTTATTTCCAATGCTGTAGTATTTCATTGTAATTGACATGGATTCGACTGCCTGAGACTTTTGAACCTCTAATGTTAGCGTTAATATAGCATAGCTTGCCTTCATGTGTTAGATGGATTGTTTACTAATTAGAGACTGTTATGTATTTGAAACTGATTCTGAAATCATAGACATGAGTCCGTGGTTGTTAATTGTATATTCAAACTGTCATAATAATTAGCAGGAACATCATTTTTAGCATGGTATGGTCAGATATAGCTGTCATCTCCACCTGAAGGTTAAATTCATAATAGGCTATTAATTCGAAGCTGGATTTAAGATAACTGTGGTCGGGTCAATATTAGATCGAATTTGCTTTGTATTTTAAATGCAGTAAATAGTCTGATTGTTCACCTACAAATTCAATTCACATATAGGAGTTAGCATTAGCATGAATTCAGAACTGATTATGTGCCGACCACTGATTAAGACTGTTATGAACTGAAATCAGTAGGCCTAAATGCAAATAAATCAGTGTGAGATATGGGCTTATTTAAGAGCCCAAACGTGACAGCCTCTGTTTGAACAGACCTGGGTTTAAATCTGTTTAAGGAGCCCATGTTAGACTGCCCTCCCCTCTTGTAAGGTTAAACAAGTCTCTTTCATTTGGGCCTCTATTTTGAAGCCCAATCTGCTGAAGATCCTGTTAATTATTAAAGTATTCTGGCTTAATATTATGTGGTAATACTCTCAATGGTGGTTTATTAACAACGCTAATTAGTCAGGTTTTTTTTTAGAGACAATCCTTTAATAGAGAACCGTAGCTTCTTTTAGGATAGCCTTAAATAAAACGAGGTACGCCGCGCCAAATAAAATCACAAATTGCGTGGCCCTTTTTAATTACTTCTTTAAAAAATATATATTTAGACTTCGGGACGAGCCATTTAGCGAATTCCATGGCCTCCCACAAAGTTAATAATACGTTAGTTGCTTTAGGCGCGTATTTTAATAATATTACCTTCCTAAAAGTAGGTGCACATTTATGTGACCCAAATCCAAATCTCAACGAAGTCGAAATGTGTTAACAATCACGGGTGCACTGGTGCGACGTGGTTCGAGACGCATTTTCACGACGTTGCAATTCTTAAAAATAAAAATAAAAGCGGTTTACTAATAAAAGCACATAAGTTAGCACATGTTTTAAAATCAGATAAAATCAAATACAACAGTTGAGCGACCGTGCTAGAACCACGGAACCTGGGAGTGCCTAACACCTTCTCCCGGGTTAACAGAATTCCTTATCCGGATTTCTGGTCCGCGGACTGTTAACAGAGTCAATAATTTCCTCGGTTCGGGATTCAACCGGTGACTTGGGACACCATTAATCTCCCAAGTGGCGACTCTGAAATCTTAATAATAAATCCCGTTCCGATTGTCCTTTAATTGAAAAAACTCCTTTACACCCTCACAGGTGTAGGAAAAAGGAGGTGTGACAACGTGGATAAGTAAAAACGCCACTAAATGTATGGAGAGTATTGAAACTATAGAAAAGAACTCAACGTGGTTCTTGGCCTCCCACTGGCCCTTCGCTAATTCGCGCCACTTGCGCTCACCATAGGAAGAAGTGGCAGCTAACTTTCTGACCTAATCCTCGAGGTCAGGCACTACTAGGGGCGCCCAAGCATTGGCTGCCAAAAGAAAGATAAGAGCGTTATGGAATATAAAAGAATATGAACAGGTACAAGAAATATAGACTCTACTTACGGTTAAAGTTCCACCTCTCCGGGAACGACATTTTTTCCTCGGGGATGATGTCCGAAGTCCTTACTCTAACAAACCGGCCGGACAAGTTACTAAGCCGGACGATCTCGAGGGTCCCCGGTACGTAGCCCCCTCCTCGACTCGAGTTGTCCGCTCGGGTACACAGTCTAGAACCCATACCTAGGATTTGAACCTAGAATAACTTGACTTCATGCCAGATCCCTAGTA